AAATATTGCTCACATCAAAGGACAAGAAATTGTAACATCAGTTTTAAAGTTAAAACAAATAAGAGGTCTGCTAAAGATACATAAACAAACAACTTACAGAAAGTAGGTGCTCTTATTTACTGATTTTTGATATAAGAACAATGACACTGGTTAACTAGGGAAATAGTTTAAAAATACATCACAGAGAAGTAGCCTTTCATAACAAACTCACAATATCTGTTGAGTTTACTGTATTATTTTAAATTTGAGATTCAGTGGAGAATACAGATATTAAGAAAGCTTGTATCTATGCAAGAAAGAATAAAGAAAAACAATGAAAAATTCAGCAGCGTTTGAAATGTCACATGACAGGGTCTTGTTTGCTCCTCATTTTGATTATGGATAGAAAAGAATAGGGCCACCTGAGACGGCCTCTGATTTGGACAGCTTGGTACTGCTGATATTCTGCAATGGTAATAATTAGATCCAAGAAGAAATGTCACTCTTTAAACACATGTCAATATAATGCAAGTCATTCCTTGGAGTGCCATGAAAATTCTAATGGAGAGCTGTGAATTGAGCAAGAGGAACCATAAAAATTACAATTTCCAGTGTTTATTTAAGGCTGCACGCGCAGTCTCGGTTTGTTTGAGCCTGAACTTTTAACAAGTATTTTCCTTCTCGAGTTGATGCTTGTACAGCCTCTTACAGGGAGAGTGAGCACACATCCGATATTCACTTGTGCATCAAGTTGCCTGGCCACATCCTCACTGCCCTGGTGAGTCACTTCGTCAGGCTGTCCCTTGTTGAAGCTGCGCTCCGTGGCTCTCCAGGCACCTTCTAGTGGTCCTGGGACACCTGTACCACAGTTTGCCTTGGGAGACTTCAAACATGACATCTTATCCCATAGGTCCTTGTAGCTTTCCATGACCAAGTTTTCTGGTATTTGTCTCACCTTGTCTTCTCTGCATCATGGATGTCTTTCAACCCAATCATGCAGCTCTGCATGGTTTACTCGCTGTTATATCACCCATGCGCTATAGCAAAAGATCACATCATTTGGGCCAGGGGTAAGATTTATAAGATAGTGGGAAGGATACTGTGAACTCCAGACCCTTCAGACACAGCTGGTTCCCAAGAGGATCCCACAGGTTCCTCTTAAGATGGCAGGCTCTGAAGAGGGCTGCATAATTTTTGTGTTCCTGTGAAGATTATATTCAGACAACAAAAATCATGCCGATATAAAAAGGAATTTTTCCTACTTTATTCCTAGGGAGGTAGTCCCTGCAGTGGGTAGTGTTGTAATAATGTCATTTGGGATGAGAAAGCAACATTTTACCCTGGAAATGACCTATCTGCCTCTTCTAAGAAGGGCAGAACAGGATCATGCAAGGTCCAACAGAGACTACACAGTATGGATATGACCGTTCTGAGTACACTGCTCCATAAGCCTCCTCCTGCCTGGTAGTAGGACCCTGGTGTAGTCTGTGCAAAAAGTCAAGACAAAATTTGGATGGCTAAGTCAGATGTACATAGAAATGCATCATCTGGTATTATTATGGCAGTATGAAATTTGTTATGTGACATGTACATAAGAAACTGAAGTCTGGTACTCTGTTTTTCCTGGAGGAAAATGTTCTTTCATTCATTTTCTATGACTAGGAGCGCACCCTCTGTAGCACAGCGCATGGGACATGTGGTGTACAAAGGTGAGGGGATAGGTGAAGTGAATGCCAGAAATACTCCTGAACAGCACCGACTGGAAATTCAAATTGCAGTGTGTTATCAAAAGGCTGTGACTCAAACAGATGTACCAATCATATGAAGACTGTGTTAGGTAGAAAAGAGGAAGATCCCAGGCCAGACAGAGTCTCTGTGGGCTTTGTACTCTCTGCATCATCTTAGGGAGAACTAGTGAGATTTTCCCTGGAAACATTGATTTTCATGAGAAACAGCAGAAACATCAAAACCAAAAACTGGTGTGGACTCACAGTATGTGCAGACACTTCACTTTGTGCAAAAAACTCTCCAAATATAATTAACAGAAGATCTTGATCCTATATCCCAAATGAGCATTCTGGTTAGTAGGCTGTCAGCCTTTCCAAAGATTACTGTTTAATTGTATATGCGTAAAGGGAAAATATCTCCAGCAGGACAGATAAACAGACACTCATCACAACATAAGTGAATGTGCAATTCTTTTTCCTAGACTGAAGACTGAAGCCTAGACCCTTGTTTAATTCAATCTGAGCAAAATACTGAAACAGTAAGTTCTCCTCCCCAGACTCAGTAAGTATCTTGAAAGACTATGTTCCCAAGAAGCTGGAACATGTCTACGTATGGGTATGAGTACTTTTCCAGTGAATGAGGTTTTGCATTATACCTAGGGCATTGCACTATTCCTAGGAATTGCGTTATTGTTAGAACAAGTGTGGGGAAAGGGTTAACATTATACAGGAACATATCCATGGAAGCATGGGAAGTGTAGTCTTTGTGCCACGCCTCCGGAAAATGACTCTACGGAGCATGCCCATTATAAGGGCTCGCTCAGGACTGTGGGAAATACCGCGCGTGAAAAAATGATTTTACAGCTGCACATGCATCTCTTTTGTCGGGGAACTCAAATGCTACAAACAAGAGTATCCTGTTTTAAATGTATTGCACTGAATTTGAGAAAAGACTAAGAAATTAGTAGTCCTGACAGTGAATATATCTGGAAGTTTCCTGAACGTTGTAATATCCTAACTTGTTAATCAGAGATCCACTTTTCGATAGAATAAATCATTAAATTCTACTTATTAGTATTGGAGGTTTTTATATCTTCACCAAATGTAAGAATTCACTGTAGTTAGCTGTAGCTTCTTCACCCACCATGTCATTTTTAGTTTTGTGCAGAATCTCTAAGAAGTAAAGCTGTCACTGCCATCTAGTGTCTTTAGAACAGGTTTCTGGTAACTGTACTAAGAAAAAAAAAGTGTTTTCATAAGACTGAATTCCTTCTCCGGTTTCTCAGCTACTAGTAAATCTCAAGTAGTTCATAGAAACTTGTAAACTTTGGAAAGTTTAAAAGATGTTTGCTTACTTTTTTTTTTCTCTCCTGGAATATATGTTTGCCTCCTCTAAGTCCAGCTTGTTCAGGATCATGTAACCAGCAGAGAAACTAGCCCTGAGGAGCATCTGACAGATTGCTTTTCCTGCCTTATCCTTTTCCCCCCTTCGAATGACACATTAATCAATAACAGTTCATGTACTATTAGGTGAATTTGTGTAGTTCCACATAAAAACTAGGAACCTGGTGTGAAGTTATTAGTTCTGCTTATATCCTGTGAGACATCTGTCTCAGCCTCTCATGGTCCTTTCCTCACAACATCTCAGGAAAACTGTCAGTTCAGTCCCTCCCTTGGGAAAAAGACGTTTCTTTTCAATTCTTGATGGTCTTGGGAGACATCCCATCAGGTCCCCACCTGGCACCCATTCAATGTTATTCTCATGTGAGGGCAGTGGGTCCCAGAGCATCGGGTACTGTGGAGAGTGTTCCTTTTTGACTGACAGCAGCAGCAGAACCCCTCTGGCTCTGATCTCAACCTTCCACTTCCACAGCACAAGCAGTATTTTCCATTTTTTCTTAGCAAAATGCCAGGAAGTGACAGCCTGGTACTTTTCTTAGCTGAGGTAGAGCTAACCGCAGAACAGCTCCCATCTCTTGCTGGGGATGAAGATGCAGAAACTGGAGCTGTGGTTGGACTTGTGCCGAAGGCTTCTTCCAGTCAGCTGAGCAGCAAACAGGAATCTTTCTGTTTGGGCTGGGTAGCAGCTGGATATGATCATGCTGATGGCTTTTGAAGTTCCAGCTTTCTATGCAGTACCTTTGTCTCCTGCCAAGTGTTTAACATTTACAGTAATTTGCATAGATATGAAAGACATTCCTTGACATCTCCTTACTTCCCTGTCCACCTTTGCGTTCCCTTATCCACTGTGGCTCATGTCCTTCGAAATTCAGAAGACTCAGACTCAACAACTAGCCCTTATGGAAGGCTCATTATTATTTTGACACAATTTTCTAGCAACTCTTTATACCGAGAATAACAAGGACTAAGTTTACGTGTCCAGACCCTTATTTCATTTCTGAGTAATTAAGTTAAACTGCAGCCCAATACCAAACATTATTTTTTCAGGCATACTGTGTCTGTCAAAAATTATTTTTATATATAATTGAACCAATTTTTGTTGTTATGCAGCGACTTTCCCTGTAGCAGTTTTTTCAGTATTTTATCATAGAACAGAACTTTGATTTTAGTCCACTTTAAGTTTTTCCATTTGTAAAGCTTTTTTTCAACTCTATTTCTGTGCATTTCTTTTACACATATTAAGGTCTGGAATTCATTAGTTCTCAGTTTTATGTTCAGAAGAGACCTCTCAATCTATTAAGTTATATCAACTAACCATCTATGTTGTGTAAATTACAGAATTAACCTCATCAAGTGGATAAGCCTGGTAATTTGAGTCTGTTTAAAGGTATTAATTGTTGATGGGCTTTGCTTGGCAGGCCTGGCTGATTGATTAAATTAGGGATTGGTTTTGAGAAGGCAGAATAGGACAATGCAGTTTCAATTAATTATGAACATTTAACATTCAAATTAACAGGGAACTGATTTTCCCAGTATTTCTTAATAATTTCTTGTTCTCTCCGTAATGATAAGGACTAATTCCAATTTTATTCTTATTTTGCAAATTTGAGGAGTCTTTCCTTTTTCTTCTCTTTCTGTTTTTCTCTCCTCCTCTTTTCTATAGAATTAATTGCCTTGGAGGAAAAAAAAAGTAAATCACATTTTTAAATAGAGGTGAAAATTTTAATGAATAGAATGCACAGGTTAGTTTTCCTGATTTCTTTTGTCCAATAGCTCTATCTTTTATGACAGGCAGAATATGGAATTTTAATATAAATAATTTCACAATGTCAGGTTATTTCTTCAGTTTATTTAATATTATTTTCTAAAATTGAAAAAATATTCACAGTCCCATATATTTTCCATTGATTAAAAAAACCAAACCAGACCAAAAACTTACAATGTACCGAAGCAGTTGATATAGATGTTAAAAGAGTAACAAACATGAAAAAATATATTCTTTTCAATATTTTGATTTGGATGTTCAGGTTCTCTTCTGGCAGAGCTAGACATAACCTCTATAGACGTCACTTCAGTTTACATCAGCTGAAAACATGGGCTGTGATACCAGATGTAACATCATGCAACCTGCATGACTCTCTCTCTTGTTGCTGCTTCTTTCTGGTTTCCCCAGTATCATCCAGGCTGATGATTTCTGCAGGGAGTAGTTTTCCTTTTTCCTGTTTTCTGTCTTCTTTGGAATGACACCTCACTGCTTCTGTACCTTCTCCTTGTTCTAGCGATGACATGTGCATCTGCTTCCAATGAGACATTTCTAGTCAAATGGGGATACTTTCAAATACCTTTGAATTCCCTAACTTCATTTGTGTGGCCTGGTGTTACCTTCTCAGGGAGTCACCATGCAGTCCTCACTCATTCATTACACACCTGAATTCCTAGTACATTAAAAGGCATTTCAAAAAGAGATGAAGGGTTACTTTAAAAATATAATGCTCCTGGGTTTATCAGGTGTATTTCTTGGGACATGCTAGGAGATCCTTGAAAGATGCTAGACATACTCAGGTTACCAGGAATTATTAGTGTTCATGATCATGTGTGATGTATCCAGCATCTCACTTCGATACTAGACAAACTTAAAGTGGTGCAATGCCCCTTGAAATGCTAGTGATTTATTTTCTCCTTTCCTATTAAGTTAATTCAGTTCCAGACTGGCATGCAGCTGTACAGTTCCATATATACAGTATACATTTGGTGGTAGGTAGCCCAGTGCTTGTTCACGGAGCCTTGCTGTCCTCTAGTAAACCTATATGCCCACATTATTATTATTTCCACGTACTACAAGCTGCTCTGCAGCCTATGACATGGCACTCAACTGTAATTAGCACCAAAATAGGGAGTTAGTATGCAGGACACGGACAATTCTTTTGCTCCAGATGCTGTATTCAAACTGCAGTTGTCCATTGAAGAAGTAGAGATAACCTAAGGAAAAGGAATGTTAAAATGAATTAACACAGAGAAAACAGTGTTGTCATGTTAAAATTGTTAAAATAGAAATTATCTTATTTGTCTTCATTTTTAATAAGTCTTTTAAATGCAACATTTTAGTATTTAGAATGCTGAGCTAAATTTTTTAAAGATCCTCGTTCCATTTGCCAGACCTGGATCAGAGTTTTAAAATAACTGATATTCTTTAATCTTGTGTCAAATTCTGCATTTTATTACCTATACAGCACTTGCTTAAGAAAATACAGTGTTTGCATGTTAATGGTTAAGACTGACTTGGAAACACTCCTTGAAAAGTTGGATGGGAATGGGCTCCATTTGAAGGAACAGACGCATAATAATACTTCTGTATTAAGCGTATCACTTTAGTTTCCTAAGCAAGGAGGCAGGTCTTTTTTTGGCCCAGAGCATGATTTAGAGTAGAAAACTGATTCAGCCAAGAAAAGAAGTGTTGATGTGAAAAAATCAAAATTACAAATGACAGAGTTTTCCATAGGACATTAATCTCAATTTTCAAGGCCAACTGATTGTAATCAAGTTTCTTTATCAGATTATGTACCATTTCTTTCATAGACCGCATCCACTTTATCACCAATTCCTGCGAATTCTTCCTCTATCAGCCTGGGGTAGCCTGCTTCCATAACTTCTGCCTCTTCATCATAACTATATTAAGTATAAAAGAAAAAAAAAATCAGAGGATTTAAGCAGCCTGGGAGTTTGATCTGTACCCTTTATATGCTTTGAAGTTACTCTCACCTGAAGCAGCCAGCAGCCTTTAGATGCTTTCTGTCCAGTGCAATAATGAAACTCAGGACAATAAACAGGGCACACCTCCACCAGAAGTGGAATAAACACTAGAGTTTGTAGAGTTACATTTTCAGAACTGATCTATGAAGTATATATTCCATGGAGATTATTGTACCTGGATGTACTGGCACTACAAGCCTATCCAGAGGCTGCTGGCACTGTGAAGTGAGATAGTGTCTTAATTATGCATGACACCTGACTGTGAGCTGCACTCATAGACAGAAAAAACCAGACACCCTGTGGTGAGACAGATTTCTGACTCGAAAAGTACTGATACCACTTCATGTCACACAAGCAACTCAAGGAAGCAAGATGGGGATTTTGTCTTGCAGACATGACCACAAATTCTCCTGGATCAGAGCACTTTATTGTCCTTTCCTTTCTTTCACTCATTCAGCTTTTAAAGTCTGTGCCCATATGTTTATAAAAGTCTTGCATACACCTTTACAAGATTGTACACAGCTATAGCAACAATGAAAACCACAGAGCCAAGTTCCTAATTTGAACCAGCCAGCTGATCTTTTGATATGACTAGGGACACTGATCTGTCCCCAGCTTACCTCCAGTACTTATTTCCAGTAAAAAAGAGAGTCTTGCCAGTGTCTTTAATATGGACAGCTGCATCTATTCTTTTCATTTCTCTTGGGAATCCCATTTCATATATCTTTTTAGGAAAGTCTTCAACTATATCATAGCCATTCAAAGCCCAGACTTTCTTTCCTGAAAATAAGAACAAAGTATAGGTGAGTCTTTTGTAAAGACTCAGCTTTGAGAGCAGAATGAAATGAGGATGCTGTGATTCCTATTTTTATACAAAAATAAATTTTTACGTCACATACTTTGAAGGTATTAGACTATTTATGCTATGATCCTATGCATTTGGATTTAATTGTACATCTCCTAATTCACTGAAAACTGTATAGATGTGCATGAGGTGAAATCAACAGTTTGTTTTTTGAGTAAGGAAGTAGGTTGTTTTGTTCGTACCTTTACACCACCCACTGAGCTTAATTAAATATCTATATTTTTCTACCGACAACAAAATTGAAAGCTCACCCTTAAACATAAACACAAGATCTTTGATGGGATTTTCATAAGCTGCATCTATTTTATTTGGAAGCTCTGGCCAAAACGACTTAAGTAACACCAGTTCTGCCTCCACCATCTGAGGGTGCAGTCTCCAGAAAAACCTAAGTCAGAAAAAGAAAACATATTTTATGTTTCCTGTCATTCAATAAAAGAGCAGTATTTTTGACGTGCTATAGTAAAAATTAGTTACTGATGAATTAATGTTTTTTTTCATAACATAAAATATTTAATATATAGAGCTCCTTGTAGACCTTTCCTTTCCTCATAGTCATCTAGTTGCAGATGATTTCTGTCACTCCCACAGTGATCATCTCAAACAATAACAAATTTAGAATAAGAGAAACACAGCTGTCCCATGTAAAGTTTCTGAAGATAGTACCCAAATACATATTAGTAGATTTGTCCATATTGAAGAAAGTCCCGTGAAATGAAAAATGTGTACAAAAAGTGTCAATCTTCACTTCAAATTACTGGGCTGTGAAGTCTGCAGTTGTATTATAATTCCTGCCTAAAAAGATATATGATGTAGTTTCTTAGAGACATCTATATTGATTTGTGATCTTTTAAACTTACGTTCATTCAAATCTCTAGTAAAAAACTGAAATGGTGTTTTTGCTTCCTCAAAATTTTATCCAGTACCCACCATCTGTAACATGGAAGTCTCTTTACCTGTCCTTGAAGACCAGCATCTCTCCACGAAGTTCTGTTATTGCATCAAGTGATAATTCTACATCACATTTCTCTGGTGTTTTGGGATGTTTTGGGTTGGGATCTTTGTCTCCAGCACCTGGAACCATACCATATGATCTAAGCTTGACAATGTTATTTTCCTTCTGTTGTTCACAATATTGAATAGGACATGGAAGAGTTCCCAAAGAGCATGATAAATACAAACATAATATGCAAAACATTTATACTGGGGAAAGCCTATTCTCTCTCTTCTGTAGCCAAATACATTCACAGACTTTGCAGTTCAACTGTGCTGCGAAGACGTTAAATGGACTTTCTTGCTTTATCCCAAGTTTTAAAGGTCCCCCAAAATTTTTATTCTTTCCATGATGAAACATAGATAGTTCTGTTTCTTGCTTTAGACTCTATTTTACCTTCTCTTTTGAGGCAGGTCAAAAATTATAAAGACTGCCCTCAACCCCCTACCACCAGAGGAGACAGCACAGTGACCAATGGTCCTCTGCAGTATTACTTCCTTTTTTTCTTTCTGAACTATTAAATCGAAACCTCTTCTGTTCCAATTAACTGGTCTTAAGCAGTGATGACTGGTGTTATGGAGCATCTGCAGCTCTATAGTAGCTGTGCAGTGCATCTGTAAGAGGTTATAATGATACAGGAGATATATAGACTTACCATAGAGCTCTTGGATCCCTTGCACATCATCATCAGGAAGAACAAACCCAGTTTTTCCAGTGTATGTGTAAATTGGAAACATCAAAGCTCCAGGGTCTCTAGAGTGTTCAAGTCCCAGTGAATGACCAAATTCATGGGCGGCAACAAGAAACAAATTATAGCCTATAAAAAAACCACAGCAAAAGTAAATGTATATCTCCTTGCATCACCAAAGGGGACTTGGAATAACCAACTAACCTTAACACTGTGCTTTAACATATAGGACAATGAATGAGACAACTGAATAAATGGAAAAATTATGCGTAATCCATAAAATCATAGAATGGTTTGGGACCTTAAAGATCACCTACTTCCAAACCCTCTGCCATGGGCAGAGACACCTTCCACTAGAGATAATTGCTTGCCTTTTTCAAGCTACCATGGGTTCTGCATTAATAAGGGCCTAATCGAGTTAGTATCTCATAGCTGGTGTTTAGCCTAAATCTTATTTGGCAACATTGCTATCTAGGCAGATTTAGATTTCTTGAAATTTCTTAACAACACAGGAAAGCTCTGGGGCAAAATCTTGGTCATACTCAAATCAAGAACATTTTTTGGTTGGGAATTCATCTGCAGTAGAAAATCCATATTATTTTCGGTGTTGCAGAAATTAGCTTTAATGGCAGCAGGGTGAGCTAATCCAGTGCTGAAAAAAAATAGTTGGGTTTGTTTGTTTGTTATCTGTTTGTTCTATTAAAGTTCTGTCCTGCATAGGCAAAGTAATGAATTTTCAAGGTAAATGCAAACAGATAATTTGCAGCTATGTGTTTTCTATAGGCGTCAGTAAGGCACTTCCCATCAGTCTGTGATCAGAACCAGCTGACCCTGACCTCAGTGAAATGCCAAAATGACAAAATCCCTTGTTTGTGGCATTTTTTTAATCACTTCACTTACGAGCTTTATATTCTAGAATTTATGCTAGGCACATGTAAAACTTGTATTTATGACTGGAGGTTAAACCCAGCTTTCTGTGTGTGAACAGTGAACATGACAAAGAAACAGTGAACGTGACAGGTAAAACAAACTGTTCAACTGGGAAAAATTCTCCATCTATCACCATTTCAAATAATCTCAGGAACTTCTGTTACCTTTAGAATCATCTGACCAAGTTTCATCATCATCAAAATGGGCATCTCCTCCATAGTCTGGACCCGGGGGAAAAGCATGAGCCAGTAATCCAGAGGGTCCATCGAAAGGGTAAAAGTCACCATGTTCTACAAAACAAAATTCAAAACAATTGAATTAATTACCCCATCTTATTTGGAGGAATACTACTATAAAGTAAAAACAATTGGTTCTGTGTTACCTTTAGTGCCAAAGGAGATCATGATATCAGCTATACCACTTCGTATTCTGGTGAAGTTCAGTGGTGTCACATCCGACCAAACTTTAAATGCTTTTTTAAAAGCTCTGTCTACTTCAGCACGTCTCAGATCTGAAGTGTAATTCATAATTCTGTCAAACAAATTAATATCTTCAGTTAAACTGTATGAATTGAAGAACGGTGCAATGACTTTTATCTGACTGTACACCTCATTAAAAGTTTTTGCTTTTTTTATGTTCTTATCACATAACAAAGAGCTCGGCAGCTGCATATGGTATTAAAAAAAACCAAAACAAACCATTTCTATTTTCATTAACATAATTCAGAGACATTTAAAATGATCCAACAGCTGTCTTTAATTGGTTTTCTATATACCAGAAGATATAGAAAATGACAGATTTGATATTAAGTCAAATCATGTCAGTAACTTCAAACTTTTTTTTAATGTCATATAAAATATCTCATGACCCTTACTTCCTGGAGGAGCAAAATATAATCCAAAGAGATTTTTATAGGTTAGAATCATCCTTATTAAATTAATATTTATCACTAGATACCAAACTAATAGAGTTCAGTGATTTCATATTTGGAACTGCTAAATAAACTCAGGCTGCAGCTGGTCAAAACCCTGGGCTGACAACCTTGCAGAATTAAAGGACAAGGAGCTACCATGTGAACTTTCATCACCTTCCCTTCCTAAGGTCAATTTTCAGGGGTCATGGTATGGTGATTTGTCTGACCAAACATAGATATCTCCATCTAGAATGTGAAATTGAAGAGCCTGCTCTCACAGCCACATTGCAGAGACTGGTTTACATCTACATTGCTTTGTCCAGGACAAGACCTATGTGAGGCAGACACTAAACCAGGTCCAAACAGGTCACAGAAGTGACCTAAAGAAATGCATGATCTTAGTCCATACTCTTCTTTCATTTGGTTGGATGAGGATTTACTAACTTACACCACACCAGCTTTCCTCCACGAAAAAGTACAATGGAAAAAAATAATGTTTACTTCCTTGGGCTGCAGTGTGAGCTGAGGGCACCTTTCCAAAAGTGAGGCTGTAAGGGTTTTAAACTACAACATTAATTTTGTCAAACTCAGATGCATCCTTCTCACATCAACCTCACATACTATCAACCTATTGGACAAGGCACCTGGAAAGAAGGTAATAACAACACTCAAAATACCGTGAATTTACCTGTATGTCAAATTCATTTTTGACCATTTGAGTTTTCTAGGGAAAAAGTTATATTCCCCCACATCTGGGACACCACATCTTGGTTTCTGCATCAGTTCATATGTTTCTTCATCTAGTTTGCCTGTCACCTCCAAGCCAAAAAAAGCTTGCATTTCCCGAAGTTTAGATGCCACTGTGTTACCACTCTTTCTTATTATGCCAGCAGGATTCGGATGGAGGTCATAGTGAGTCCTGAGATAGCGCTAAAAAGGGGAAAAGAAGTAATAAGACTAGTTTCCAAACAATTGTAACTACACAACTTACTATTTACTAGACATGTGAATTAATTATTTTATACTGTACCTCTGCAAACTGAAGGTCTTTCTCTGTGAATTCATGGCTGTCTTCGAGGGGAATAGGGATTGTCAGGCAAAAGGACAAACCCAATAAGAAAAAGAAAACAGCTGAAAGTCTTGATTGCATCATGTTGGATTTCTGAAATCTGTAGCCCTGATGTTTCAGAGAGCAGTTACCTTTACTTTTATAGTCCCAGCCAAGTGAGTCACCACTTAGGGACAAGTTAGAACTTCCTTGTCACTTGAAGTAAACATGCTTAGACAGCTGGTTTTTCTCTCCTCCCCAACACTGTGGTTTAGGCATCCGTTCTCCAACTGAGAGCTCTGAAACTGCATCCTTATATAAACACGAGGTCTCTGAATATTGACATAGGTTGTGGGATAAAATGGGCAGAAGCAAACCACACTTTTTGATTATTTTGCAGTAACTTACACTGGCAATAACTGGCAACAATACTGCAATAACTTACTCTTCTTTGCTAGAAAAATTGTCTTTTTACTATTTGATAGACAATAAAAATATAAGCTTGATGATTTTTAAAATAAATTCTGTAACTTTTTAGTAGTTGCACTCACGCAACAGAGATTTTTAACAGTCAAACTGATCACACACACTTCAGTTATTAATAAATGATGCCTTGGTTGATAAGAAATAACATTATAGAATATACAATATAATATTTTGTTTCTTTGTTTCTGTAAAGAATTATAACTCCAGAATATTAACACAAATTTTATTTCAGAGATCCTTACATAGAATTACAGAATAGTTTAGTGCCTGTGATATACTAAAAAACAGAAATGCTAAATATCAGGAAATAATTTTGAATATTAAAAAATATTAAAAATATTTAAAACTAGTTAATACAATTTATCTTCCTCAAAAAACAGGAATTTAATTTACTTTATGAGAGAATCACAGCCAGAGATTGATGAGACAGCTACTACTCTGAGAGAGGCAATTTACCAGCTACAGGTAGGCAAGGAATGTGTGTCTAGAATAACAGAAAAATGTGATTTTTGACTTATGAGGTGGATTATAGGATAAATCTGGCATTATGACAGAGATAGTAATTAATATACTTTAAAACTTAGAGGTTATTTATGTCTCCCCAGGGTCACTACAATCTCAGTTTCTGCTAAAACTTGTATGCTGACAAGCATGGGTCCAAGGGGAGATACTCTTTCTGCTGAACTCACCTTCTTCTTTCCTGAATGCTTTTTTTCCTGTATGGAAAACATGGAAAACCTCAGTCAGCTTTCTGGTAGACACTGGTACAGGCTTCCTGGAATACACTACCTTCACATGGATGTTGCCTTGTTGACAAAACAGGAAAAGGACACAAATCACTGAGGTTGAATGTGTAAAAGCTTGATTTGTTACTCAAATAATGATAGCCGTTTGTCTCATGATGACAAACAGCAAAAGCAAATAAAGCTGAGAGGAATTTGTTATGTAGGCTATTTCTGCCTCACTGCCCATCTCAACCAGTGCTAAATATGGTTACACGAATTAGGAATAGACAACTTCTGTTAAAGCAGTTTGTATATTCTCCTTTACATTGTCTGTCACCAGTGCTGAGATTTCTTTACTCAGCAATGGTGGCATAAAGGCTGTTAATTAGGTAATTCCACCTTCTTAAGAATCACAGAGTCACAGAATCAAACAGTTTGGAAACGATCTCTGATACTGAGTCCAATCCGTGACCCAACACCAGCCTGTGAACTAGCCCATGGCACTAAGTGCCACATCCAGTCTCTTCTTAAATACCTCCAGGGATGATGACTCTACCACCTCCCTGGGCAGCCCATTCCAATGTCTGATCACTCTCTCTGTAAAGAATTTCTTTCTAATGTCTAACCTAAACTTCCCCTGGCACAGCTCAAGACCAGGTCCTCTTGTCCTACTGCTGATTGCCTGGGAGAAGAGAGTGACTCCCACCTGGCTACAACCTCCTTTCAGGTAGTTGTAGAGAGTGATGAGGTCTCCCCTGAGCCTCCTCTTCTCCAGGCTAAACAACCCCAGCTCCCTCAGCCTCTCCTCATAGGACTTGTGCTCCAGTCTCTTCACCAGCCTCGTTGCCCTTCTTTGGACACTCTCCAGCACCTCAATATCCTTCCTGAACTGAGGGGCCCAGAAGTGGACACAGTACTCAAGGTGTGGCTTAACTAGTGCTGAATACAGGGACAGAATCACTGCCCTGGTCCTGCTGGCCACAGTGTTCCTGATCCAGGCCAGGATGCCATTGGCCTTCTTGGCCGCCTGGGCACACTGCTGGCTCCTGTTCAGCTTCCTGTTGATTAGAACCCCCAGGTCCCTCTGCCTGGCTGCTCTCCAGCCCCTCTGTCCCCAGCCTGTAGCACTGCATGTGGTTGTTGTGGCCAAAGTGCAGGACCTGGCATTTGATCTTGTTAAACGTCATACCATGGGATTCAGCCCATTTATCCAGCCTGTCCAAGTCCTTCTGCAGAACCCTCTTACCCTCCAGCAGACTGACACTCCCCCTCCACTTGGTGTCATCTGCAAATTTGCTAATGGTACACTCAATCCCCTCATCCAGATCATCAATAAAGATATTAAACAGGACTGGGCCCAACACTGATCCCTGGGGGACACCACTAGTGACCGGCCGCCAACTGGATGCAGCCCCGTTCACCACCACTCTCTGGGCCCGGCCCTCCAGCCAGTTCCTAACACAGCTGAGAGGGCCCCCGTCCAAGCCGTGGGCTGCCAGCTTTCCCAGGAGTATGCTGTGGGAGATGGTGTCAAAGCCTCTGCTGAAGCCCAGGTAAACTACATTCACAGCCTTCCCCTCATCCACCAGGCGGGTCACCTGGTCATAAAAGGAGATCAGGTTGGTCAGGCAGGACCTGCCCTTCCTAAACCCGTGTTGGCTGGATCTGATCCCCTGTCCATCCTGTAGGTGTTATGTGATTGCACTTAGGATGATCTGCTCCATAACCTTGCCAGGCACTGAGGTCAGTCTGGCAGGCCTCTAGTTTCCTGGGTCTTCCTTCCAGCCCTTCTTGCGGATCAGTGTGACATTAGCCAACTTCCAATCATCTGGGACCTCCCCAGAGAGCTCTTCTGCCAGTTCCCTCATGACCCTAGGATGGATCCCATCTGGTCCCATAGACTTGTGAGGATCCAAGTGGCTCAGCAGGTCACTAACTTCTTCCTGCTGGATAACAGGGAGGCTATTTGGCTCCCCGTTGCTGTCTACCAGCCCAGGAAGCCAGCTGTCCTGAGAACAACATGTCTTCTTGCTGAAAACTGAGGCAAAGAAGGTGTTAAGTACCTCAGCCTTTTCCTTGTCTTTGGTAATTATTCCCCTCCATGTCCAACAAAGAATGGAGGCTTTCCTTGCCCCTTCTTTTGTTACTGATGTATTTATAAAAACACTTTTTGTTGTCCTTAACAGAATTGGCCAGATTAAGTTCAGATTGTGCTTTTGCCTCTCTAATTTTCTTTCTACATGACCTAACTACATTCCTAAACACTTCATGAGTTGCCTGCCCTTTTTTCCAAAGGTGATGTACTCTCTTTTTTCCCCTAATTTCCTGCAACATCTGCCTGTTCAGCCAGGCTGGTTGTCTTCCCCACTGGCTCACCTTCCAGCACATAGGGACAGCCTGCTCCTGCACCTTCAAGATTTCTTTCTTGAAGTATGTCCATCCTTCCTGGACCACTTTTTTTTTAAGGGCTATTTCCCAAGGTACTCTCTGAACCAGCCTCCTCAACAGGCCAAAGTCTCCCCTCCAGAAGTCCAGGGTAGAGGTTTTGTGGACGCCCCTCCTTACTTCACCGAGTATTGAAAACTCTATCATTTCATGGTCACGGTGCCCCAGATGGCCTCTGACCACCACGTATCCCACCAGCCCTTCTCTGTTTGTAAACAGCAGGTCTAATAGGTCCCCACCACTGGTAGGTTCATTTATCAGCTGCAACAAGAAATTATCCTCCATACACTCTAGGAATCTCCTAAACTGCCTCTTCTCCACTGTGTTGAGTTACCAGCAGACATCCAGCAGCTTAAAGTTGCCCACAAAACCAAAGTGTTCTCCCCACAAGTGCTTGAGGATGAGCAATGAATCCACACTGCTGATGCTCTTACTGCACTGCATTCCTTCCTAGTGCAGACTGTCAGATTATGTGTATATCTCATTTCTTTCCTTCCAACACTGATATTTGCAGCATTGCTTTCATTAACGTTGGGGTACTCAATTATCAGATAAGCAGAGTTTATAGTGGATTTTGCTTGCTTTGTGTGGAGCTTAGCAGCAGTGGTGCTGCCTTATCATACTTTCTGTGACTGTAAGGAATGCTTTCTGGAGACCATGAGGGTGTGAGTGTCACTGTTCTTCAGAACAGTACCAGGCATATCTCAGAAATCCATGATCAAAATGAATAGCTTAAAAGTCCGCAGGTAACATATTTGTGAATTTCAAAGTCTCTGAAATTAGGGGTTTGTACCTAAGCACAATTGTATACCATCGTTTGTATATCACTGCCCTTTACCAAACAGCTCAAAGTTTTTTATTCTGTGTCAAGTCCTTAAACCACTACTCTTTCTCAGCTCAGATATTGGAATCTTTATTCTGGAATAGGAGAAATTAATTTCCTAACCAACTGTTACTGCAAAAATGTGATCAGTCCATCACACTTTAGGAGAGGATGATCCCAAATTATTCCTAAATGGTTTCAGGTTTGCCTTAATAAACATAGTTCAGCCAACTGCTAATTAAAGGTGAAACCAAATATTCAGAGATAATATTTGAATTTTATAAATGTGGAATAACAAAAAGTATTAGCTAGGCACCAAAGTAAAATTAAAAAACAGTGTTAGCCTACCGAATGATGCTCCAAGGATGTATGGAGCTGTGTTCTTTAAAATCCTTGACTGCAGTTGTCAAAGCAGATTGAACAGATTCTGCAAGTGAGTAGAAAAACATACAAATAGAAAAAGAAGCAGGAAGTCTGTAACTATTTTGTCACAGAGAGTAAAATGAAATGCTAAATGATTTCTGAAAGATTGTGTGCAATGAGGCGCCTGAGAGTATATTATGGCTGAATCGTGTTTTCTGAACGTTCAGTTAAAGACTTTGGGAGTCCTGGACATGTAAATATACAGAATCCAGTATGTTTTCTTACACATTTTAGTCCTATTTATATTAGACCATAGTGGCTAGAAGCCTATTTTGAGGCATGGATTTTTGTCTTCTGTAGACAAACTGAAGAAACACTGGTGAAGGACTGTGCAAACAAGCAAATAAAAGGGGCAATGAAAATGAGCTGTATTCCCCCTTTTTTGGAGACAGCACCACAGATGTAGTGTATAATTTTTTTTAAAGGAGAGACAAAAAGTCTTGACTGGGAACTAAGTACAGACTTCTGAAATTGCTATTACTTTTATATGCAGTGACTCTTTAAAACCTTCAACAAGTGAACTTTTTAAAACCAGCAATGATAAATGATAATGTCAAAGCCAACCAGTGTTGGGCACTGTAAGATATGAAATCTGTGGCTGAGGTGATGCCACTATCTGAATTTAAAAAATGAAGAGAAGTGTAAATGAAGGTAAAAACAGTCAGCAGTGGTTCATAGACCTTGTGCTGACCCCAGAGCAAACAAGCAAGCATGGAAAGTTATATTTTGAAAGCACTGAAACCCACAAAACTGCTGAATAGTAAGATTTCAACAAGCACTGCAGAATTTCTGCAGTTCTGGCATCTTGTGGGTGTGGGTAAAGTTAGCTGAACTGATGGTAATTTTTCACAGGCACAGCAGAGACTGGAATAATCATGCCAGGGTTCCCCCCAAGGAAAAATGGAGGAGGAGGGATAGGAGATGCGATGAGAAGAATGAAGCAGC